TGGGCACAGCATCCTCACCAGCACTGTGCCTGGGCTCTGCTGGTGTGGCACCTGTTAAAGGGTTCCTATGGTCAGCTCTGGTTAGAAAGCCGGATGCAGCCTATCAAAAAAGGGTCTGAACAACGAGAGTGTTTGAATTTAGTGCAAGGAGACTGGCATTTTGGCTTGCTTTTTCTTCTCATTTTGGGCCAGGCAGAAATACCTGAGCAAACAATCCCTTTTGGTAATATTTAGCCTTTCTACTCAGAAATCAGAGGGGAAGAAAAGGGACAGAAGAAGCAAATAGTCTTTTTAAACCTTCACTAAAGGGTGGTTTCAGTCAAATAAACCTTTTATTAGGTTTAAACAGCTCTCCAACAGTAACATATTGTTGTGGTTTAACCCGGCTGGCAACTCAGCACCACGCAGCCGCTCGCTCACTCCCCCCCCTCCCTCAGTGGGATGGGGGAGAGAATCGGAAAGAAAATAAAAGGTTAGAGCCGAGGGCTGAGATAAAGACAGTTTAATAAGAGAAAAGAATAATAATAGTAATAATGAGAATGATAACAGAATATACAGAATATACAAAACAAATGAGGCACAAGGCAATTGCTCACCACCCACCGACCGATGCCCAGCCCGTCCCGAGCCGCAAGCAGTCCCCGAGCCGCGAGCAGTCTCCCCGCGACCGACCGACCGAACTAACCACCTCCCCCCAAGCATGACGTTATATGGTATGGAATAGCTCTTTGGTCAGTTTGGGTTAGCTGTCCTAGCTGTGCTGTACTCCCAGCTTGTTATGCACCTGGGCAAGCAGGAGAAGCTCAAAAAGTCCTTGAGTAGTCTGAGCACTACTTGGCAACAGCTGAAAACATCAGTGTGTTATCAACATTCTTCTGGTACTAAATCCAAAACACAGCACTATGCTAGCTACTATGAAGAAAATTAGCTCTATCCCAGCCGAAACCAGGACACATATTCTAATGTTATAATGAACAGAACCAACCACCAGCCATCTTCATCACCAAAATTCACTCCCTTTCCATCAGGTTCAGAGGTCTTATTTCATCATTCATAAATTTTCATTTTGTTTGCCAAAATACTGCCCAAAAGATAGACTTGCCCATTTAGCACGCACAGAATATCTTCCTTAAATTCACACTCAGTTGTTGGGTTTCATCCTGGTTCCACTTGCCAAGGCTGGGGGCTGTGCTGCGTGCAGTTCATGGCTTTGGAGTGTGGAGGCTTGAAAGTCTTATGGGAAGAACAAGCAATTTATTTCAAAACACAACAAAACAGGACTTGCGCTCAGCCTCGTGGTGAGCTTTCTGCTTCGCGAGCATTTTGCAAGAAGTGTCAGAAGCATCAAAACTATTTACATTTTTCTACACACGCTTTTCTCGCCACAAGCTTTTCAGCTGAAATGTTTCAAACTCATTAGTTGTGAAGCAACTGTTTCAAAACAAACCCAAGCCAAAGGCAGAGCCGAAGAAGCTGAACTGAAAAAAGTGGTTTTGAGAGAGGGAGGGCTGAAACCATCTTCTTGTCCTCAGGTGAAACATTTACAGACTTTGAAGTTTCCAAAGATGTGAGATCAGTTTTCCTCCCAGCCACTGGGATATCTGCATATCTGTTACCATCTCTGGGTTTTTCTACCTGATGGGAAAGCCAAGATTTCTGAATTGAACCAGCTGGCAGGTTCCCTGTTTGGAAGACAAAGACAATAATTTGTCCTTCCAGTTTTAATCTGTTGCTTTCAGGATGCTCCTGTCGATCTCTAGAGTGGTGTCGCGAAGGATGACCAAGGAGCAACATACTCTGTTTTGCAGCCTTGGGGCATTTGGTGTGGTACTCATATATCATCTCAGGCACTAAGGAGGGTGTCAGGTGGCCGTGGGCAGGAGGATGTATGTCCCTCCTGCGCGGGGCCCTGAGTGATGTGTGGGAGAGGCAGCCTCCCAGGCTGTGCTCTGGTGAGTCGTGGCCACAGCAGAGCAAAGCCAAGCTTATTGTTTGCTGTCTTCTCAAGAAGATAAACCCGTGCAGCTGAAGTCAAACCCATCATTGCCACATTTGACAAATAAAGTCACAATAATTATTTTTAAGGGAAAAAACAAATGGCTAAAAACACCCTCGCCCTGCTTTACATCACAGGTATTAAATCCTGAGCTTTTGTATCTTTTTTTTTCCCCCATCAGTTTTCGCTTCCCTACTGCCACAAGAGTTATATTTGCTTCTCCTCTGAAATTTGGCTCAAATCATTCTTCACTCCAGATTGATGTGATCTTATCATAAGGAAATCCTTACCTTACCTTTGTTTCCTTTCCTGTTGCACATTTGATTTCTCTGGTCTGGGGTTTTTCCTTCACCTGAACTCCAGTTTTGTGCTAGATATCTTCCAAAAATAGTCCTGCATTGCTGAATTCATTGTTCTTTTCTTGCATCCTCTCAGACTCCTTTCTCTCCACCTCTTTCTTATGTTACTACTTCTCCTGTCCTTTCTTGCCTGTTATGAGCAGACTGCAAATCTGAAATGCTGTTTATTCACATACATCAAGGTTTCACCTAACCACAGATATTGCGACCAGATACATGTTTCTGCTACTTTAGTGAACTAACTTCATTAACTTTTCGAAGGAAAATGCTGTGTGTGGGTGTCAGCTCCAGGATGCCCTGAAGTAGCTGGATTGTTGCATCGTTTGCTTCAGGTTTTTTCCCAAATGCAATTTCCAGCCAATAACTTGAGCAGTTCTTCTTCATGAATCGTGCAAGCGGCCACGATTTCTTCAGTGGGTGCTTGGATTACAGTATATGTAAAGCATGCACAACCTGAACACTGATTTTTCACCACAACATTTTTTTTTTTCCTTAAGTCACTTCTAAAAATAGGAAAGTCATTTGTCTTGGGGAGAATAATGGCCTATAAAAATGTGAAGTAATTTCTTCATATTTCTGAATCCTTTCCCTTCCGCCCATTATGAATATCCCTCCTAACAAATGCTCTTTCTCCTTCATGAAGGTATTATAAGTAATTATATCCTCCAGTTTTAATGTTCTGATAATATAATCAGATGCCCTATACTTTATCCCCAGGTTATTGACTATCCACACTCCTGAGAAGGGCTGAATAGCTTTTAATCCCAAGGAGGAGATATCAGCCCTGATTGCCTAGGACTCTGAGCAAACATGAGGTCTTCTTTAGACCATTATGTACATGCACAAACTTTTGTCGCTGCAGAGTAGATACCAGAAACATTACGTGGACCCCAAATGCTCACTGCGGGGCAAACTTTCCATTCTGGTCACGTATGGGCTGGTTATTTATGACCTGCTGGACATTTAGATTTGCAGTGCCTTTCTGTTCCTGTTTGGCAGCACAAAGATGGCTTAAGAAGTGGATAAAAATTAAGGAGGACTTAATGAAAATGAAATTCAGGCTCTGAACACTGATATAAAAGGAGTATTAATCCTTCCTCAGACTTGTACCTAGAATGAGGTACAATTATGAACAGAGATCATTTAAAGTTATGACAGATTTGATGAAAGAACTTTCGCTGCTGTCAGAAGGGAAGTTATTATGTTGTTGCTAATAAGTGTTCATCAGGTTTCCAGGGAGCTGGATTATGCCAAGTAATAAAAGGTGTGAATGACAGTTCTTTTGGGGCAGGTAAGAATTTGAAGGCAGCATCTCCCAAGAACGCAGGCACAATCCAAGTACCTTGCCCCAGACTGACTTTTTTATTTTCGTATTTTCTCAACTGGTCCATTTTGTGCCCAGTGAAGCCTTTGCAGAGCTCCAAGGCAAGATCCCCCCTCACTCTGCCAATAGCTCAATGAACATACAGGTCCTATTTCTGAAAGCCAGAACATCTAGCTACTACCTTCCTCAAGTGTTCCTGGAATTAAAGCTGGTAGAAGAGGAGCTGTAAAGGCTGTTCCCAGCCTGAGGTCAACAAGAGTCCATCCAACTAATTGGACTTTGGATAAGGTCCAACAAGGCATCAGCCCAAAAATCTGTCTTGTATGAACCACCACTGCAATCAGTAGCATGACACTAATTATCCATGGTATGAGGTGGCAGTTGCCTGTCCCCAGCTCCAATCCCTCCCTAGGAATGAGGCAGATAGCAAGCTAGAGAAAACTCCTCCTTTGTACCACCCGAAACATTTTCTCTCCCCATTTCACTCAGTATTCAGGGCCTTTCGAGCTTGCCAGTAGCAGATGAAAATGTAATAGACTATCTCAAAAAAACCCTGGTGTTTGTGCAGAGCAAATCCCAGTTCAGTTTATTTGTTGCAGCTATTTGGCTTTCCATTCTGCACGTTGGGAAATAACAATGGAAGGCAAACACTGAAATTCTGCTAGGAACAGCACATAGATGTGGTCAAAGCCACAAACTGCTTGGCTAGCTCACCTTTTAAAGAGGTTACCAGCATGAGGCTAAGAGAGACTATCTGAAGAGACAAATGCTTTGGATTTTTTATTTTCATTTTCCTTCAGGTTTTTCCCTAAAAAAACCCAAACACACACAAACAGGCTTAGGCTTTATGTTTAAACAAAGTTTCATTTTCTGCATCTGATTTTGAATTTTTCCAAATGGCAACGCAAGAAACAGTAACCAACAGAGCAATGAGAGTCTTTTACCCAGCACGTTTTGCAAGGGCTGTTCCAACAGCACCCAGGCAGTGAGTGTGCCTTGAGCAGAGCTTGCCAAGACAGCTTTAAGTATCTCAGCAGGTCTTTTTTTTTTCTCTCCTCTTTGTTTACCTGGTGTCTCTTGTCAGATATTTCAACTATAGGTAATGAGACACTGGGATTGCCTTTTCCATTGCTTGTAAATAGTATGCAATGGGGCACCCTTCCTACCTGGAGTCTCCTGGTGCCACTACAAGATAAGCTAATAATTAATCAGAAGAAACACACCTTGTGGCAACATTAACAGATGGCCCATCGGGAGCTCTGATTTGAATCAGTGTTAATAATTTCTGTTCCTTTGCTTGGTCCAGCTGGCTCTGCTGAAGATGAGCGCCGTGTTTCTCCTGCTCTTAGTGTCCACTGCGAACATTGGTGCCATGCTGGAAAAGGGTCTGCCTAGACGGGAACCGCGGCGCCTCTCCTGCGTGCGATGCTGCGGGCCTTCAGAGCAGCCCGTCTCCATCATCTCCTCACGATACACAAGGATGAGCAGTGACCCTGCCTATTCGGTACCCAAAGTCCAGCCCACTATAGATATCACCATCCTCAAAGGTGGGTGAAGCTGACTATGGGGATAAATTCCTTTACCTTACTTGCTCGCTCTTGTTTTGCAAGCTGTGCTCCTCCCTACACTAAGAAACTCATCCACTTCATTTACCAAGAAGGTCAAGGGGTGACATGGTGCAGGCTGTGTGTGCAAGTGAGAAGAGTTGGCAAAAGGCTCTAATCCACCAAAAACCAGAATCACTGGAAGCTCAAGTTAGGTCACAGTGAAAACCAGATGCAAATGTTCTCACAGAATTACTAAATGGTAGAAAGAAACTAGGAAAGACACTCACTGGCTTTTTCTGTTGCATATTTTTTTCTCTCCGTAAAGCAGGCAAACAACAATCAAGCATGTAATGCTCATGTCTGACCAATGCTTCCAGATATCTGTGCTGGGAAAACAATGTTTTAGCACAGCTGCTTTGCTGGTTGACTCCAGCAGGATGTGTCTGCAGCTTGGGCTTCGCACGCTTGTGTTTGACAAGGTTTTCCTTTATGCTTGCAGGTGAGAAGGGTGAAATGGGAGAAAAAGGGTACCCTGGAGCAGTTGGGAAGGAAGGAGAAAGAGGGCTGCGTGGCTTTAATGGACGGAAAGGACAGAAAGGCCAGCCTGGCCCACAAGGCCATTCCTGCAAGCAGCTCTACGCTGCTTTCTCAGTGGGTCGGAGAAAACCCCTTCATAGCTCAGACTACTTCCAGCACGTCACCTTTGACACAGAGTTTGTGAACCTCTACAAGCACTTCAACATGTTCTCGGGAAAGTTCTTCTGCTATGTGGCAGGAGTCTACTACTTCAGCCTCAATGTCCACACCTGGAACTTCAAGGAGACCTACCTGCACTTGATGAAGAATGAGAAAGAGGTGGCCATCCTCTATGCTCAGCCCAGCGATAGGAGTATCATGCAGAGCCAGAGCCTGATGCTGGACCTGCAGGAAGGAGAGGAGGTCTGGGTGAGGATGTTCAAGCGGGAGCGAGAAAATGCCATCTATAGTGAGGAGTCTGATGTTTACATCATCTTCAATGGCCATTTAATCAAGCCGGCTATAGAGTAGCCATTCATCAGCTTTAGGCTCAAAGCTTTGGTAGATACATTAGTCCCTTCCCTCTTAGAAATGCATAGATCTAGAAGGATTACAGGCCTCCTGACCTGCTGACAGCATTGTATGTCCATGCCAAGGACACCTCTGTGGATGGAGGTGACTGCTTCAAGGTAATGCAAGCTACACAAGTACCGAGAAGGCTTCAGCCCTTACGTGCCCTGGAGAAGCAGCATGCGGAAGGCCCCAGTTCTGCAGCCCTGGATAGATCCCTAGTAATAGACCCCAAAAGTTTGCCAAGTTGGTAGCAAAAACCTAATTTCTTTGCTCTGCTTTAGAGAAGACACTTTAATTATATTTAAGGGTCATCTTCAGAGATCAGTTATCTGGGTGCTAGTTAAGGAATGTCATTACTCCTACAAGAATACTTGGGTATCTTTACAGCGTGCAATATTGATAAGAGCCTACACCCACCAGCATCTACACCAGGTCTGCTTCACTCAGGTGGGCAAGAATGCACCAGTATGAACAGTATTTTGCACAGTACACTTGCCCTAAATTATGTTGTTGTTCCATTTCACATAATATTACATTCTGAGAGCATAATGCTAGAATTAGATAAATAACAGCATATCAATCTGGCAAAGCTTTTTTCAGAGGCATGTAAGTATAGCTATAGCCACATGCTCTAACTTTGCTGGATTTCTGTCCTGCTGGCAATACTTCTCACACAAGAACATCCAGCATGGCTGGGAACATGCGTATTTCTTATTTTAAGGAAAATGGTGGGCCCTACCTTAGGATCCAATTTCGGAGCGCTCATTGCCAAGCTGGAATTTGAATCCATGCTCATGTCTGAAAGCCATCTTGTAGCACCCTCATTTCTGGAAAGTGGAGAAGAAACTGGAGAGTAAAAAGGTGCTTTACTGCTAGCAGCAATATGTTAGGGGATTTGGTTTCTTTTTTCCTAAAAATTTATTGACGTAAGAGTGGAAAGGTACATGCAGCAGCAAGAAACATTGTTTTCCCTGGTTCCTCCTTGCCCAGTCCCCCCAATCTCTTGTTTGCATCCCGAGCCATTTGTACAAGGGATACATGAAAAGTTCATGCTAGGCAAACTGCTTCACTGCTGTACCTCACCTATCCATAGCTGCTTGGAAAAGTAGCTGAAATAAAGATGCTGCTTTGAGTACACTTGCTTTGAGTACTCTGGCTTTGTTTGTCTTCTCTCCATATGCTTTTTCACAGTATAGGGCTAAAAGCACTAGACTGAACATCCAGACCCACATAATCATCTCAGGTGGCAATTTTAGTTGTTTGAACACCAAAGGACTCCAGAAACTAGACTGACACCAACCCCTCTCCTTGCAGGCCAGTAAACAGCCATCACCAAGTATCAGGATGGGGACACAGAGAAATTAATGACCCCTTGCTGTAAAATAAATACCAAAACTTTGAGATCTCACAGTCTTCGTGAAGACAGGAACTGTCACTAACTGTGAAGTAAATGCATGATGAAAATGGGCCTACAAACCTTGAAACATCATCTCTGCTCCTGCTTCCATCACAGGTTGCACAGTCTGCAACCCTGAAAAGGAAAAGTGGGAAATTTGCACAACTTTAAGAAGCACTCCCAAGGGCATTTCATGCAGATCCTCCACTGACCTGCTGTCAGCTACCCCAGCTGCTTCCGTCAGGCCATTGCACAGCATTTCCTTCCCACCTCCCTGCTAAAAAAGCTTCCTAACCAGGTGTTTCCATTAGGATGATGGTAAAAGCCCTAATGGCTGCATTGCTTATTTGCAGCACACCACTTAGTCCTGAGAGCACTAACAGGGGAGATGCCAGCCCTGAGCAAACACATGCACAAGCAGAAGCCTTTCCACCGCACTGGCCTCAGTGAAGGCATTTGCAGGATGTTTTTCCCAGCCATGCACCATATTTGAGAGCTCAAAAAACTTCTTTCCCCTCCGTTGTCCCTACTTCTGAATCATTTCCCACCCAGACCTAGATTTTGCAGCTGCAGAAAGTCATACTCTGGGTGCAGGGTACCACTGGCAGAGGACCTCATGAAATGCCTGTGGTAGAGCAGGGGTTATTCACTGAGGCTGATGCAGTCACAGGGCTGTCTAACATTCCTCACATATCGAGCAGTTTCACCACAGCTTCAGCTCACCCCCCACCTGCAGTTCGCTGCATTGACTATAATTAAAAAGAAAAAAAATGATCCAGCCCTCCTAAAATGTCATGCCCAGCTGGAGTTATTGACAGTGCTTAATCCAGCACTGGAAAAAACCATATCCAGAACATGTTTATGTTCAGCTCGCACTTATTTTGGAAAGTTACTTTCTACCAAGTAGTAAGCAAAAATCCATCCATCCACATCACTATATATTTATATCTCCTTAACACCTAGGCACACAGCTAGAGATAATCTGATTATCGAAGCAATAGGACACATTCAAAATGCTCATGACCGATATGCCAGTGGCATAAGCAGGTAAGTCATAAAAGCCACATTGGTTTCAGGTGCAGAATAACCTTTGAAATAACAAAAAAGGTTATTGGGTTGCATACATTATTCAAATTAGTAATTTATGGCATCAAAGAAGTAGAAGTCTCAACCTGCCAAGTTCTTTAGGGAAAAAATCAAAATACTTAAAAAGCTTAAGGTACAAAGACATTCCTATTGCCACCTTTTGAATGCATCCATCATTTCTTCCCAACTTCAAGGGCCACAACAGCCAAACCCAAAGCACAAATATTTGAAATGCGGTCATCAACACACAGGCAGCCTGCCAGGATCTCTCTTATAGGAACAGAATTTAAATCCCCCTTTTTTTTCCAGCAATATGTGGCTTGGAAACTAAACTTTGAAAAAAGCTTTTAAAGTGCTCTTTTGAAGAGAAGAAAGTGGTGGTGGGTTAACTGCTGAAATCTAAAGAAAAAGGAAAAAAATTAATTTGTATTTATTTTTCCAATTATTTCTCTAAATTGGCACTTTGTATTTCATGCTTTGAAATAAATCATCAGAATCTTTTCCCCAAATCCTTCAGTGGTCGGTATTACACAGAAATGACAAAACTGCCTCAGCTGCCATAAATCCCAGGTACATTTTATTAAGAAACATTAGCTCTCCTGTAGGTTCCTTTCACCCCAGAATTCATGTGGGAGGTGAAGTCCCCGTGGTACAAGGCACCAATGAACCAATTTGCCAAAATAACCTTACCTGTCCTTGGGACAGGGCCAGAAACAGGGGAGGCAGAGGAACCTGCTGAGATCATACACAAGGAGCTGTAAATGGAGAACAGGAGCCTTCTATAACAACAGAAAGGTTATGCAAGACATCAGATGAGAAGCATCTAGCCCTAAAAAATCTCTTTTGGTTGACATAGGAAAATTAAAACAGGCTTCAAGACAACATACCATTTGCTTTCTGACTGCAAATCTGTATGAGATTTACACTTACTAGCACAAACTTTGGCAATGGGGAGGAGATAAACTCATCTAACACCCTCCTCTTCATTTCTTGGGCATCAGAGCCCCAGAAGAGCACCATACAAGAGAGTGTGCTGGGACAGCATCCATCCTTGTACCAAAAAAGGTGAGGAATGGAAGAGAGCAAGCAAATGACCTGCCCATAACCACTGGGGGTGAGGCAAGATTTATGTCCAATATAAGGAAAAAACACTTCCAGGAGAAGGAGAATCAGACTCTGCAAGTGGCTGCAGCATGAAAGACAAGCTCTCCATCCCAGGAAGCCTTCAAAGGCATCCTAGAGCCTGCCAGGAACGATAAGGGCAGCTCTGGCTTAGAGCAGACAAATGCACCACATAGATGCACACCACCCCTTTAACCTTCTTTTCCCGTAGATTTGAGTTTCAGCTTTTTTTTTTTTATTGAGAAAAAGCCCGCTAAAAATCTCCCTATGAAGAAGCTGAGCCAGGCCTGCTTCCACATTGCTTTAAATATGCTTCAGCTGCAATTATTATAAACCTGCACATAAGAAATCCTGCAGCCCAGCTCAGTAATTACCGGGATCTATCTGCCCCATTGAATCCTGTGCTTAAGCCTACCTTACGACTTCCAAACACATTCATCCACTATCCTTCCTTACACGATGGCACTAAATGAAGCATTGCATTACAGCTTGTAGGATTGCTGCAGAACCCTTACTAAGCTACGTAATTGCACTGTAACTTGTTTTTTTTCTCAGTTCTTACCTTCCAGCTGTAAAGGAAAAAACTCTTGCACTTACAGACTTAACCTAAACTCACCACTTCTCTTGAGTTCAAACACAGCAACAGCTGACTTCTAATAGGGTCTGAGCATCTTTTCCCTAGAAGGGCAAAAATAATATACTTTCCTTCTTCTTCCTCCCTTTTCCCTTTCCTGAAGCAGAATTCAGGGGCGATGCTTGAATCCCCCTGTATATGGAGAAGCAGCAAATTACACAGAGCCCACTTGGGCCTGCCTTAACAAGCTGAGGGGCTATATAAGGCAGCAGTAAGGCCTAGGGGGCTTTTTATACTTGCTGGTAGAGGTCAGTTTCATCTAGGTTTAATGAGTGAGGTGCTGGGGAAAAAGTGCAAATAGAAGTTTTTCTTTAGCATTCAACAGAGGATTAGATGAGATACTACTTTTTTTCACAATATTCTGAATGCATTTTTTTTTCCTTCTCTGTGGCCTGTGATGAGCTGCAGCAGTGCTGAGTGTGGGGGTTGCTATAAGGGTGCTACTGCTGGTCCTGCAGCTTCTTCACTGACCTGGCAAAAGACCTTGCTCCTAAAGAATTTAGTGCCTTTTTATGCAATCTTTAAGTAGTGCTGTAACTACTTAGAAATGCTCTCTTGAAAGAGGTGCTAAAGGGTTTATAATCCTGGCTGTGACAAACAACCAATGTTCAAGTTAATAGCTCTTAGAGTGCTGTTAGAGCTCATTATACCTGGCAGAGCTGGCCACTGGGCTGGTGCTTAGTGCTTTTGATGCCAAATGGCATCAAGGAAGCTAAAACC